GGGATTGGTCACTTCGTGGGATTCGTCACTTCGTGGGATTGGTCACTTCGTGGGATTCGTCACTTCGTGGGATTCGTCACTTCGTGGGATTCGTCACTTCGTGGGATTGGTCACTTCGTGGGATTCGTCACTTCGTGGGATTGGTCACTTCGTGGGATTCGTCACTTCGCCGGGTTGGTCATTCGCCCGGTTGATGAATTCGTTCTTTTTTCACAAGGCGCACTTTGCTCACTTCGTTTGGTTGTAGTTCGCGTAATTTTTTCCCATTTTGTGTGGCTCACAATTTCCCTTCCGTTTGGCACACTTTTGTCATTTTATTTATTTTTTTTTTTATCCCATGTACATGTGGCATGTTCGCAATTACGGGATCAATATATTTTTCAATTTTTGCATTTCCGTTGCTTTAACTGCGTGGAGCAAAACTATCTCCTTGCGTACTTTCGATGAACGAAGTGGAAACAAAAGTGTACGCTTTTAACGGCTGACGATGCCATGAGCTCTCCACGGCGCGCAGGGGTGTGGCTGCATTGGCAAGTGAACAAATAAAGAGATGAACGAACGAACGCACAAAGCCGGTCTCGCGTAGACACTTAAAAGAACATGTGGTTTCAGAAAACAAGCACATGGGCCATACACATTGGGACGTACGAGGGGTAGCCGTTTTCACTAACACGCGTGATAAACATGCAACAAGTTGCCGAATGCAAGACATGCGATCGAACGCTCGCGGAGGTGGAAGCAAATCGGGACGCGCAAACCCTTGTTCGTGTGATCAGTATATCGTATGATACAGAAACCTCTGCAGGATCTCTTCAACGATGTTAACCACATGCAGGCACATAAATGTGTAAGATCTTCTTCATCCGCACTATGTGCATATTGACACATTTAAAAAAAAAAAAAAAAAAACTTCTTTTTATGCCCCTTTTTCTTATCACCTCTGTGCAAGTACCTGTTACTCTTAAAAATGCTGCCTCCATATATACCATACCGTAAATTTAACGAACATGCGCAACGGGGCAATTCCAATTGAACAGTTGAAGAGTGGCATGCCTGGTCAACGAGGCCATAAATTACACCAACTGCATGGCACTTCTAACCAGTAGTAAGCATGGAACTTCGCGCCAAATGGTAACTGTGAACAAACGGAGGGACGGCCAAGTGATACTCACAAAAATAATCTTACACCTCAGTTCAACCAAAAGAAGTGCGTAAAAGCACCTATACAGTACCCCTTCAAGGGCCTACAATTTCGCGTCTTCTCCACCGGAAATTATCCATTAAACGTAAATTCACGTGTGTAAAAAGAATTTCCCTTGCTGCTCAAAGAATACACTTTTTTTACGCTTTCCTTGCACGTATTTTAAACATGAACAAAATTTATCGATTTGGTAACCACTTCTCATTTTGCGTGACCATTCAACACTTTTCAATTATTTATCACACTTAACGTAAAGGCAAAAATTCAAAGCGCTCATATAATGTGCCACTTCTTAAATAGTTTAAAAAAAAAAAAAAACTCATATTTACAGGTAGGGAATTTTTTTTTTTGAATATCACTCCACCCCGGTACTATTTATTTGAGTAAGTTCCTCCGCCTTTTAATCACAAATGATGACCATTTTTTTTTTTTTTTTTTTCCTATATGCCCTCTTCAATTTTGCAAAATGGTTCAAACTTCACATTTCATAACATGCCTTTTATAAGCATACGGTTTTATATGGGTACCCGCCCCCCCTCCTTTTATGTTTCAAAAATATCAGCCTGGCGCGAAGAGAAACAGTATAATAACGGCTGAACATAACCATTTGTTCATCTCTTTTGCATCGTCAGCTTTTGCAAAGACATACAGGCGAGGTTGCCTCATACGCAAGCGTATACAAAAGACCCCACGGCGATGTAAGCAAGTGACCACATGTGAATTGTGACTTCCACATGGGGATACAACACGGAGCGGCCAACGCCATGCCACATAGTAATATGACAGAAGGGTTTATAACTCCTTGCATATGGCTTATCACGCTTGAGCATGAAGTTGTGATAATGCCACGTTTGCACTGAACATATCAGGCGCACCTGCAGTGGCAGTGTGTAACCCTCTCACCAATGCACAATTGTACATTTCTTTTAAAAAGGAAAAAGAAAATATTTCCCCGGAGTTATGCAGAAAGCACAGAAATAATGTGCCATTTGGACAAATACGAAAAGAAAAAAGTGCAGTCCACTTTGTACCGTCCCTTTCGCATATGGGCGTAAAGGCACATAGGGAAACAGCAACGCCGTCATGCTAAAGTGGCAGAAAAAGAAAACAATATGCGCGGTCATACAATCGTGTAGCAGTAACGTCTGGCCAATGCGCTAGAATGCATATCCACATACGGTAAAAGGTTCTTTCCCTCGGTTTGAAAATGAAAGTAAAAGCAATAATTAGACAAAGTTACATATTATGCCAAAATGATAATAAAAATTCTCAAAGTAGACTTACCATTTTTTTGTGAAACCCAAGTTTTATTTGACCTCACATTTTTGCTCCACTGTGTTGGTAATTTTTGTGCCATTTCTTCGAAAAAATAAAATTTCTGTCACTGTATGAAATCACCGCGCAATATCTAGTCCAGTTTATCCCCGCCCTGCCGCAGGTGTATGCATTGGCACATTAAACGTGTTTGTTTATTCCTGAAAGCGTTTAATTTGTTGCCTTTTTTGCTTTCATATTGGAAGCACTTGTTGGTTACAGTGTATTAAACTGAAACAGTCACATGTAAGTGTACACTATGCATCGTATAAAATACCTTGTACAGTTGAAATGGAAAAAAAAAAGAAGAGGAAAAAAAAAAATCTGCTATATTTTGAATTTTTTTTTTTTTTAAAGAACAAAAAATGATGGAGACTTTTCAAAAATTAACGCTATAAAGATATAAACATCGTTACATATACAAGCACATCTTGTAGAATTTAGCAATTTTGTTTTTTTTTTCACTTAATTCAGCATTTTTGTTTTTTAACTATATTTTTAAAATGCCAATTTTTTTTGAAACGATTCGCAATCTCGAATGGGTTAGAAAATAGGAGCAAGCAAGCTCCCAGCACCACAGCTCCCCCAAATAAAAAAAAGAAAAAAAAACATTTCACCTTGAACATGAATTATGTACATTATTCATAGGGGAAAATGTTCCTTTAAACATAATTTGCTTATGTTTAAAGATATGTCGCGTGATGTTTTGCTCTTATTTTTTTCTTAAGAGTTAAGCTGAAAGCGAAAATATATATTACATATATTTACTGGGGATGAAAGAACAAAGGCGAGGCTAGCAAAGAGGGCCAACAAAAACGAAGCCAGTCATATTTCTGTACATCATGAAATAACGCGTACTTGTATAAATACGCGTACAGCACGAGTACAAACACGAGCACAATATATATAGAAACGTGAGCACAATACATACACAAACGCAAGTACACTAGATATACAAATGCTCCCACTTGTATACAATGCGCATTTACATATACATACATTATAAACACATACATATCCAACTTATTATGTGAGTTTTTTGTTTCCCTGAGAATTTTTTCTACCATTGCTGATGATGCCTCTCCATGTTTTTCTGGCATTCATCAGTGTGAACTTGTTTTTCGCTTTTTTTTCGTTTTTTTTTTTGTTTTCTTTTTCGTCTCCCATTTTGTTTCCCCTTTGGTTTCCCTCTTCTTTTCCCCTTTTGTTTCCCCATTTTGTTTCCCCTTTCGTCTCCCTTTTCGTTTCCCCCTTCGTTTCCCTTTTCGTTTTCTTCTTCTTTTTCTTCTTCTTTTTCTTTTTTCCCATTTTTACATGCTATACCGAAAGTTCTTTTCGAATTTGTCTGTGTCCCCTCGCGCAAGAGTTTTTAATTCCTCACACGGAAACTTAAGCAAATGGTATTATGCGCAATGTATACATATAACGCTGAACAGTACGCATAAGGGAGTACGCCAGAATGCGCACGTATCAGTATGTATATACGAGCGTGTACATAAATATTATGTTAGCGCAGAAGTACATGTGTAAACTCTGTTCACACGAGGGTGTATATATGAATATGTTCCTATGAGGATATTTGTAAGGAAATGAATAAACATCCTTATGTTTCCCCTTCCACTCTTTTTTTTTTTTTTATTTCGCGGCTGCCACTGCGAGGTTTCCCCCTTTTTTAACCCATTTTCCCACGTGAAAAGTAAAATTAAAAGTCCTTTTTAAGCTATTAACAGTTATCCCAATTTTATCTCACTAATGAGATGTTTATATTGTTTCCTTTCACTTTCCTTTTGAAACTTTTAAAAATAAAAATTTTGTCTTTTTTTTTTTTTTTTTTCCTTTTCCCTATCTTTACGATTGTTATTACTATTATTTTTTTCTTTAATCATAAATCTTTTTTTAAACAGCGTCTTTACATACGAGAAAAGAAAGAAAAATGTTTCATTCACATGTCTATGTAAAGTACGTGCATTTTTACTATCACGTTTATAGCAGTACTTATACACACCATAGTGTACATTCCACAAGGATAAACCGAACACCTCAGTGTGCATGAGTGTAAACCTCCTTCGCCTCCCCCCCTTCTACATATTTCATACCTACATCCGAATCCTTGATTATCTTTACTTCTTTAATTAATTTATTTTTTTTGTGTAAGAAACATAGGCACGGCGGAGATTGCTCTGCACGCGTGCGCCCATATATGGACATATGCATGCATATATAAGGGCCTCAGAGGGGGGAGTAGGAAGAGTACATATATACGCACATGTATATGTGTATATTCATATGCACAAGCGTGTCATATGCCGGCCTAGGAAACTTCCTTAGAAACAAAACCCACCGAAACCATGTCTTACAATGTTTACAAAACGAACATGGCTGATTGGTAAGGGCGCCTTGGCCAACGCAGCCCAGTAACGTGGCACGATAACGCGCTATTACGAAGCAGCAAAGCAGCCCATCCACCCCCATGATTAACCCCCTCCCCCTTCGCAGCTTAAATAAACTAAGAGTATACGACCTCAATCAGCTATGTAGAAAGTTCCTGCTTCCACAACATGGAAAAAAAGTCGCGATCGTGGAACGAATTTTGGAATACATCACCGACGTGGAGAGGGAGGAACAGATTTATGAGTTCATCTTAGCAATCAAGCCCTCCATATTTGAGAGAATTAACGGGAAGAGAATAAACAGCTCTTTCAACAACAGTAATATCAATAACGCGCAGAACAGCGCGCATAGTAGTTCGAATAGCAATGCTCATAGCATTGCTCATACCATTGTACGCGGCAGTCCGCAAGGCAAAAATAGCGGTAGTAATAAATACCTGAGCAGTAGTAACAATTTTTTCCTAGGAAGCAACAAGGGGAATAGTAATTTTTTTTGTAACAATAGTGACAACCTCAATTTTGTGAACAATGAAATTCTCGCAGCAAAGAAGAGCGGAACCTCCCCCGTTGTGCGCAAGGGGAAGGGTAAGTCTCTCCTCAGCGCATCGGTGAACGTGGCTTTGGTGCACTTTCCTGTAGCTCGATACGGAAGTTGTCGCGCAGTGATGCCCCTGTTTTTTTTTTTTTCTTTGCGCCAACCGTTCGGGGTAAACATGCGCTGTGCATATAACTGTGCTTTCACAGAGGTTGTAATCATATCCCCTCTTTTTTTTTTTATTCCCCACTCCCTGGTAGCGGTCAAAATATACCAAGAGGACAGCGACTTCTCCTCGTGTGTGTGCGGAGGCATGTCCAAAAACATAAGCAACAAAAACGGGATAGTAAAATGCATAGAGTGCAACAAGCTACAGCACGTAAGTTGCTATGTGCAAAACCCAGGCGTCCATAAAGACATAGACAGTTACAGAATCCTGTGTGTAGTATGTCGATTGAAAGATATGGATCCCTTCTACCCAATGAAAAAAGTCCTCTGGCTTAAAAGCCTCACAGTTAACTCGGAAAAGCTAGTTATCAATGCGTGTGATATAAAGAGTTGGAAAAATGAAAATAAAGAAGTGATAATTTTCTGCATCCATTTGGATAAAAAAAACCTAAGTACAAATATTTCTATAAAACAAGAATGGCCCAAAACATTCGTTTTAAAAGTGAATGGAAATGTTATCGAAAAGATATTTGAACCCTCATGGGAACACAAAAGGAGAGATAGCCCTTTAAAAATTACGCACACTTTAAAGACCGGACATAACAACATTGACATCAGTATGACGAATTACGAAACGCCCAAATTATTTGTTGTAGCTTTCTTATTGTGCAAAATAGAAACGGAGCAAAACCTTATCCAAAGTGTTATATCCAAAAGTGAATTAAATTTTAAAGACTCCAAAGAAAGAGTCATCACCATCTTGTCTACCAAGCATGACGATGATGAAGTTATGTGCATGGAGATTAACCGGAAAATTAGTCTCAACTGTCCATTCGCCTTAGAAAGAATTGAGATACCTTGTAGAGGCATCAAATGTTGCCACATACAATGTTTTGATTTGAAGTCCTTCATTGATGTGACAAAGAAGACGAAGGCTTTTAACAACAGGTGGAAGTGTCCCATCTGTTCTTTATTCCTGCGACCGAAGGATTTAATTGTCGACATGTTCATTACGTACATATTGACGCAGGTGCCAAAAGATATTAAAGAAGTGGAGTTGAGTAGAAATGGGGAAATCATTTTTAATCAGAACAGCGTGGAGGGGAAAGTCGTCAAGCAGATTGACGACATGGATGCGGCTACGCTGCAGAAGACCAAGGTAGAGATTAAGACAGAGATCAGCATGGGTAAGTGAGAATTGCAGTGAAATGTGGAACGGGGTGGCGGCGAATCTATCGATTTGTTTACCACTTCTATGCTTAACTTGATGTGGAGCAATGCATCAGTGGCAAAACAGTGAACCCCGCACCTTCCATAAGCGTCTTCACCTTCGTCCCTTTTTTTTTCTGCAGATAACATTAAAGAATATCAACCGGTTACGGACAACAACACATTCAGTAAAAACGAAGTTATCGTAGTCGATTCAGATCCTGAAGATGACGACGCTAGCATTTCTCCGCAAATTGTTAACCTGCAAAAGAATCGCACTCTTGTACAAGGTATTACCCCATAAGAAAAGAGAGAAGAAATAAATAAATAAAAATGATAGTCCATATCGATAGAGTATACATAGTTGACGTACTAGTTCTGCAACCGCACATTAATTAAACGCACGTACGTATGCAAATTTATGAGGAAAAAACTTTTATCGGTATATGCAATGCTCATTCTTTTCTTTTTTCTTTTTTTTTTTTTTCTTCTTTTCTCTTCCCTCCCACGATGTTGACTGCAAAATGCCTCTCGTTTAATGCAATTTCCTTTTAGAGTTCTAAAATTTATTAGAGCATTATCAATAAAGAGACAAAGTGTTTTATGAGATTTTCATGAACAAATGAGGAAGATCGCTTGCATGTTTTACCTATCTGCATGTGGGCGAAGGCGTGGCTGCATATGTGCGAGCCTGCCCGTGCGCATACGTACACATGTACATTTAATCTGCTCCTGTGTACTTTACCTGCATACCTATACACCCTCACGCATATATGCGTACGTCCATGGGTGCATCTGTACCCACGTGCCTGCGTGCTGTAAGAGGGAGGAAATGAACAAGCCCAGGGGAAGCATAAACGGCGCAGTGAAAAGTTCATATTCACAACGGGCGTGAGGTGGGAAGCATTGACGAGTGGAAGAAAGAGAAAGACCAAACGAATGCACAAACCAATGCACAAACGAATGTTCCAGCGAGAAAGAACCTTGCAAGAGAAAAAGAAAAAATAATAATACACCCAACCAGCTGTGAATTTCGTCCGTTAGAAATACAAAATTTTCACTCCATTCTGCACATTAAAAAAAAAAGAAAAAAAAAATAAGACGCCAAGAAAAGGAAGCAGTCCAAAAGCTTTGCCCACCTTCCTTCGCCCCACTTACGTGTATAAATTTTTTTTTTTTTTGTTACCCTATTTTTTTCTTCTCTTTTCTCGCACAATAATAGTATATGTGAATGAGTGTGTATAAGGCCCGGTTGGTACGTGTGGCCCATCGGTGCATATGTCTATACGTGTATGCCCTTTCCTCAGACCTCTTTTATCGTTCCTATTAAATGTACATGCTTGTTCTGTGATATGTAAATTTCTACCGCTGCGGTGCAATATCTATGTTACACTTTTTTTTTCTCATTTCTCCCCTCTTTCGCAAAACCACTGCAGGTGAACAAGAAGTCATATGCATCTCAGACAGTGATGAAGAGGAGAATTTTAATTTGACTCCACATAAAAAGGACAAGAAAAAAAAAGAAAAAAACACCTTTTTGATCGAAATGAGAAATTTTGAAAACAGCCAAAGTTTAAATGATTTCTTTATAAGAAATTTGAAGAACTTGGAAAAGAGAAACATTGTATCCCATTCGCACAGGCTATTTAGTGACATGGCTTTAGATGTATTAAATGATATTAACAAAATTCAAGTGAATAGAAACTCATCGACCTGTAATGTGCAAAATTTTGATGCCATGCAAAAAGAAAGGATTACGGAACTGAATCGCAGTTTTAATGAAATTGCAAGTGACACTCTTTTGAGTTATTATAATAAGCCCAATCTGTTATCCAAAGATTTATATTTCCTTAATACCAGTTTCGACGCCCTTGGTATGAAGCCGATTAGAGACGTCTCCACTTTTGCCGATTCGGTGTATCATGTGGATCCCGTCGACCATACGGACGATGCAGAGAAGACCGCTTCGGACATATTGGAGTTGGCCAAAAATGGGCTTCCCACACACCATTGTGAGGAGCAGGTGAAGAATCGTGCCGCTGAAGATGGCGAGGGAAAGAGCAACGTGGAAGATGTAGGTGATAAGGGTATCCAAACGGGTCGAAAGGAGGACACAACGAATCGTGAGGATGCCCCGCCACATGACAAACATGATAGAAGCACCTCCATCGGCCTGGAACACAAACGGCCTCGTGACAATTCAAGTGTGAACGAAACCGACCCTACAATATGCGAAGATAACAACCCCCCTGTCCTGAATGATGTCGGCAGTGTGGACGAAAACAAAGGCGATGTTTGCCTCAAATTTGAAGATAATAAGCCGATCTTTGATGGGAACAAATTGGTAACCAACGAGATAGCCACGCTCAACAACTTCGAGGCTGTAACCAAGCTAAACAGCCCACTAAACAGCCAACTCTGCATTCTGCTTCAGGAGCAGAACAGCCCAAATAGCCACAACACTCAAATAAGTCCAGACACTCCAGGCAGAAGCAAAAAAAAAAACAAAAGAAAAAAAAGAACCAACACATCAGAAAGTTTAAGGAAGTACGACATCATGTGTAGCAGTTTTAACCTGTCCATAACCAATTACAAAAAGAAACGCGACAGGGCCAAGCACTTAAAAGATATCAGTAAGGGCAAGAGCGGCTCCAGCCACAAGCATTGCAACTTTAGCAGCTATAGCAGCAACCACGTCATGAATAAAACGGATAGACGTGTGAATGGTGGAAGAAACTCAAAAAGAATTAACAAAAAAAATGATAATTTTAAAGGAAAAAAAAAAACAACGAAAGAAAAAAAGTAAGAAATGATCAGCAGTATATGGGGTGTTTTCAACGGAATGTGCGGACGAATCGACCATCCATGTGAAGGAGAGACCAAGAAGCAATTTTGGACAATCACCAACACTAGTCCAGCGGGGCGAAATGAAGCGGAACGTGCACTCACCAGGCGTGTTATACATATGTGTACATTTTAAATGAGTCGAACGCGGTGAGGTCATGGCAATGTGTGTACATATGTTTGTGTGCACATGTGTATGCTCGTACGTATGTATGTTCCCACGTGTCTATGTTCGCTTGTTTGTACGTTCGCATGTTTGTATGTTCGCATGTTTGTATGTTCGCATGTTTGTATGTTCGCATGTTTCCTTTTTTTTTCTTATTTTTTTTGTTATTAAAAGGTAGAAAATGAAAAGATGCCCCACTTGTCATTTTAAAAGTGGGGACCAAAAATACGGACAATTTTCGGCGCTCGCGAAAGTTGTATTTTTTCATTTTCATTTTTCACCTTTCATTTGATTAAATTTTTCATTAGGGACTGTGCTTCTCCCCAGTGTGTGCAATATGTGTTCCTTTGCCTGTACATAGATGCGGACGAACACTTGCGCATGTCAGTGGCGCGTCCTAAGCTTTTATGCGGATTAATGGGAACACCGCGAAGCCGTGTTTCCCCGTTTGCTGCTTACCCGAATTATTTCATTTTCTTCGGAATGTTTTAAAATTATTCTTTGTACTTTTTAAAATATAATTAAATTTTTACAGTATGATGTTAACGTTTTTTATTTTAGCTTCTCCCTCCTTTCGCTTTTTTTTTCGCTTTTTTTTTTTGTTACTTTGGTACATAACTAGTTGTACTTATGAAGAAATTTTGAATATTATAAATTACCCCCTAATGTAGATGTTTAAATGCATACAAAGATGAATATTTGTGTTGTGTTCTTATCCACGCGCTCATGCGTTGCACCTACATGCAACGGGAAGGAAGAAATCTGCATAGTAGAGCATCTCTCACAGGCCAATTTGCGGACAGACATTTTTCCGGTGTTAATGTTTACCATCCACCTTCTTTGCCTTTTTGCCTTTTTTGCTTTTTCACCCCCCTCTTCGCTTCTACACTTTACTGTTTTTACAGTTCCACTGCTTTTACGTTAAAGGCGAGTCTCTATCAAAATTGGCAAAGTTAACATTTTCTTCTGATCAGTTGTGTGCGATGAGAACGGGATGTACACGCGATGCTTGTCCCACCATGGTTAAGTAGCTTTCGTCGTGCTGGACACACTGCCTTTTTCCACGACTTTTTTAAAACACGGTTGAGAGCAGCCACAACAGGGTTGCATTGTACAGATTTCCACAAGAAAGGCTGAGTGTCCCTTTCAACAAAGAAGTGCGTGTTCTCAAGTTACCGTTAACCCATTTGTGAAGGCTAGTGCGGGGAGAGAGGAATCCTCGGAAGGGTCGAAAATTGGCTCTTCCCCCACGAAACGTAGGCAACCAAACTATATTAGCGTTGCTTCGATATCTTCTGCCTATTTCATGGGTGTATAAAAAAGAGAAAGGCTTACCCTAACCCTTTTTTTCCCAAAGTCCCACTTACTCTTCGAGGATCCATCTTCTCATGTGCACCAAAAAAAAAGAAATAAATAAGTAAACTGTTTAACGCTTTATATGCGATTCGACTAATTGGGGGCTACGACCAGCACAGCAGTGCAAAAGTGGAACATATCCTTATCCACTTAAAAAAACAAACAAATGAACCGAACGAAAAAAAACGGAGAAAAAAAAAATGGAGTTGAAAAAAAAGAAGACGAAAGCTCTCTACCAAATAAACAAACGTTACAAAACAGACTTAAAGGTGAACAGAATGAGAAAAAAAAATGCTTCCTCAAATGTGCGTATATATGCACTAGTGAGATGTCCCCGTATTCCCGGATTGTCAGAAAAAAAAAATACACTTAATTTTGCATCTTTCCTTTCCATTGCAACGCTCACCACGTGTTCATTTATCCATGCAGTTTGTTGTCCCATTTTTTGCCTTTCTCTCCCGCAGTTTTAACAGCGTTTCATAGTCGGTCGTCTTAGGGTCATAGTCCTCCTCATAGTTCTTGTCCTCTATGACGTAAAGCTTCACGTCTTTGTCACTTATGTAGATTGTTTTGTAGTACCAGAAGTTGAGCTTCCTGAAATTTGAAAGGAAGAGTGGGTGTGTGAAGGGGGAGGGGAGGTTTTTCCGCGTGGAAGGTTTTCATCAGTTCGCAATAAAAGGTTCCCTAATTGTCTTAAACAGACAAGCGCAGCAAAATCATTGGGGTGATCTCGTGGCGATGACGCTCGCGGTGATTCTGCCGATCATGATGGCGGTGTCCCCCTGAGCGGCTGAGCAAGAGGGGGACATCACAACTTACGCCTGCGGCTCGTGGTCCAGGAAGAAGCTCTTGAACTGCTCCGAGCAGATGATTTCGCCAGGAATTCCGTTAGACTCGATCTTGTTAGCTATGAGAACATCCAGGCCCCACATGTCGTATCTGATTCGGACCGACCCGATTATACCCCCCACGCAGGATCCGTAGTGTAAACCGATTCTCATATTAAAATCATGCTTGTTAAACTGAATCTTAATCGTGTTGATGTTATGTAGAATCAGTTTAGCTAGTTTAAAAATGTTTAGTATTCCCTCGACGGCTTCTCTCTCATCTGTGATGGAGGAGTTCGGTTGGCTAGTGGCGACGTAGGCATCCCCAATGGTGAAAAGTTTGTACAGTCCTAACTTGATAGTATCCTTGTCTATCTTAGATATCAATTTCTGTAATAATTTTAGGACATCCTTAGGAGGAACCGTTTTGCTCCACCTTGTGAATCCTACAATATCGGCAAATAGAAAAGCGATTTTTTCATGACTATAAGTTAACTGTAAGTTATCATTTTGGTATTCTTCCAAAACTTGTCTGGGTAATATCCTAGTTAGAAAGTCATGTGAGGTTTTCTCCATCCGGTTCCTTCTCCTCTTAACTAAGAATTGGGTCCTGTCTAAATATTCACTGTACCAGAAATATAAAATGTTGGTAAAAAGAATCAGAAGGATGCTGGAGCATATTCTTATTTCACATAAATGTATTTTAAATAATTTTGAAAAGGAGTAAAGCAGGAAAACGAAAAAAAACACAAAAAAAAAAAACTTATGTTTAAACAACATATTCTTAATAAATATCAGCTGCATGCAAATGATCAGTTCAGTTGCATCTTTCATGAAAAATAAAGATCTGTCGCTGGAATTTCCAACAAGATTACTATAATGGATACAGGACAGGTCCATAATGATAATGCACCATGAAGAGAGGAAAATGTTTAAAATGAAGACTGTCCACATCATCTTGCTAGAATTCTTTTTGTATTCCTTCAGCTTCACCTTTAGTAACAACCATATGAATGTTATTATGAATAAGTAAATACACCTTATTAGCCAAATTATTACAATAAAATCGTTTCCCTTCAGCTTGTGCTCATAGTAGGATAGTTCTATCACGTTACACAAGCTTAGGATCATTTCTGATATGATAAATATTATTATTAGCTTCTTCGTCAAGTCAATGTTAATTATCTCTCTGTAGTACTGTTGTGTGTATTCTTCCTCCAGCTCTTCATCGTTGAATTTGTAGTAGAACCTGTTGAAATTGCTCACTTTTTTCTCCCCCACTTGAAGTGTCGATGTCAGCTTTTTTAGAAGCTTCTTTTTGTTATAGTTATCGAACTTGTGGGCAAAGTTTGCGTTTTTGTTGCTCACACTTGTGCTTGTTTTGATCAGTTCTTCGCTCTGCTGCGGCCCCCTTCTGGGCAGGGACGCCTCTCCTCTAGTCGACTCCTGGGAGGGATCATAACGAGGCGAATGTGACAGAAGAGGCGGACTCCCCCGATTGCTCATGCCCATGCTCTTAAAGTACCTTCTAAACGCCTGATTCATCTTTGTTAAGACACCTCTCTTCTTTTTAACCGCGGGGCTGTAGGTGAAGAAATACTCTTTCTTTGCGCAACTATTCGGTCCCCCGTTCGGACCGCTGTTCGTCTCGTTCGACTTCAAAGCGCAGGAGCTCTCTCCCCCGAAGCCCCCCGAGCTTAGGCTCCTTTCATCCTTCAAGCTGTAAAAGCTTATTTTTTTCTGTACCATTTTTTTCTTCTGCAGTTTTGATTTTTCAACTTTTGCACTCTCCTCACTGAGGTTTGGCCCTGTCGGGGGGGCCCCCTTATGTGCATTGTCTCCGCCCCCATATCCGATCTCAACAGCGGAGGATTCTACACAGCCTGGCTGCTCCCCCCTGTCAAAATTTACCTCTTTCTTTTTGAGCAAATCGTTTTCAGAGAACTTCGTTGGGTGGCTCTCCTGATCCCCATGATGCTTCACCCGCGTTCCATTGTTGCTCGATTTTTTTTTTTTTTTTTTCCTTTTTGTGTGTTTTTCCTTCTCGAGTGGGGGTAGGTTGCTCCCCATGGCGGCGCCGAGCAGTACTCCCTCCCTTAAGAATCTATTCCTCCTTCTTTTATGGACCTGTCTATTTTGCGTAACGTCCCCACCACTGGACGCAGCACTTCTTCTCCTGTGTCTTTTCTGCCATCGCGTTCTGTCTTTCTCTTGTTGGACCTGTTCGCCATCGCTCATTGGGGCCATTCGTTCCAAGTTTTCCCTTTTCACATTTTTTACGCCCTTCCATTTGTCTGCCTCACGAAAGGCGTCATCATCATCCCGCTTTGTGAACAAACAGCTGCTGGATCGTCTCGGCAGGGGGGAATTACGAGTATAACTCTTTCCCAGGTTCTCCTGCTCCCCCTTGGTCTTGGCCCTCGAATGAGGGAAGCCATTCCGCACGTCTTCACAAGAAGGGTCATTGCAGATCTTGGTAGGTATGTCTTCCTCCTTCCTTTCTGCTTCGTGCTTCCAGTGACGAAAAAATTGTTTACGTGTCCCACTTTTTGATCCGCCATTTTGTTCATCATCGCATGGGGATTCCTCCTTTGGGAACAATTTTTTTTTTCTTCTTCTTCTTTCTCTTCCTCCTTTTGTTGCTTTACTTTTTGGGAAGAGGAATCCCTGCCTCGGAATGTGTTGAATATCCCCTTGGAGGATGTTCCTCTTCTTCCTGTATATTTTGGTAAACAGGTCGTCAAAATTTATGTAGCCTTTATTCTGCCTTAATTTCTCATCATACAAGTAGAACTCCGATTCTGTGGAGTATTCCCAGTTGGATGAGAAGCTTCCATTGACAAAATTGTAGGAGACTCCCTCTTCGTGTGTGGCTTGCCGTCTACGCGCCTGTTCCTGCTTCTTTCCCCTTCTCTTCTTCTCCCCCTTTTTAAACTTACTAGAAGTTTTAAGTATGTCTCCAAGATAAAAATGGGGCGCGTAAAATTTCCTTTGATAGTTCCTTCTCTCCTTTATGTAGTTTTTTATGGCCCCATCTGGTGTATCAAATTGGTGCATAAAATCGGAGGAATCTTTTTTCACACAGGCGTTACTCCTTCTCACCTTTTTGATACGCTCCACCTGGTGCTCGTCTTCTACATAAGGGGATGTAAAAAATTCATCCGACTCGTCTCTCCCCCCAATAATTTCCTTTCTTAAACTTACTGGCGATTCAAAGTCGTATAGCTTTTTTCTTCGCACACTGTCTGCTAATTTTACCTTATCCAAACTAAGATATTTGGACTTGGTATCATTAAACGCTCTAGAGTAGGAAGGGAAGTTATTACTTATCATACTGTCACTCGCGTTGTCTGCTTTGTTATAATAGTACCAGTTGTCCTTCCTACAAGAATCACTACCCCTCTCGTAGATGTCCAGCATCTTTTCAATTACTGTACTTTGGGCATTAATTTGGTGTGGATTTTCTCTGCGCCGCCGTTCCTTCTGCGTCTTTTTTTTCGGGTGCGACTTTTTCGTTGCATCCTCCATGTGTCCCCCTTCCAGCACGCGGTTATCAATGTGATCTCTTTCTACCACGCGGTTATCTATGTGTCCACTCTCTACCAGGAGCTTCTCCATGTGACCACCTTCCACCATGCGGTTATCTATGTCTCCACCTTCCATCACCTCGTGCGCCCTTCCCCCAACCAGTGTGGAGCTTGAGAAGCCCTCGTCCGAGGGCTCCTCCACTTTCTTCACATCGTCCAAAATGTCGACCAACAGGTAGGTTCTCATTTCCCCCTTCCCCTTGATAAACACCTTGCGCTTCTTCCACACCAGTGACGTGTCGTCCTCTAGATATTTATACGTATCGTAGGAGACATGGATATGATCCGTAAGTGCCGTGGATTTCATTCTCGACGCCGTGTTGACTGTGTCTCCGAAGAGTGAGTACTGTGGCTTAACCGACCCGATGACGCCGCTGATGGCCTTTCCCGTGTGTATGCCGATGCGTAAACTAATATTCTTGTGGGTATACTTGTCGTACTGAGAATCATCACCGCTATGCATTGGCAACGTATAACTGCTGCTATGCCCCAGATTGGCATTCCCCACGTTGTTCCTCCCCCCATCCAGCACCTTATACGAGATGTAATACTTGGCGCTGAGCTGCGCGATGGCGAGCTTGATGGCGCACCTGGTGTCATACTTAATTTTGTGTACACAATCATTCTGCTTCTCACTCAGTCCCGAGGCCGCCAGGTAAGATTCAAAAACAGTCTCGATCTTGATGCAGTTAAAATACTTTATGCACTTGTCAAAATATAGGTATAAATTGTCTAGCGTCTCTACAAGGGCATGTGGCTCAAGTGTGGAAACCATACTCTGAAAATCATCAATGTCGCAGAAAATTACGGATATTATTCCTCTATCCTCTCCAGAAATATTCTTCCCTACCATTATCCCATCTGCCTTGGGGTCACTTATGAGTAGGTACTCCACCAGAAAGCTCGGCAGCATGGTGTGTAGTATTTCAATCTGCTTGGTTAAATTAACCTTCTGTTTATATCTGAATAGAAACTTCTTCTTTAGATAGTAAATTTCGTAATATTTCATCGAGAGGCAGATGAAGGTGAAGCTTAGTATGCAAATGAGGAAGGTCACTACCTGTTGTTTGCACAGACATGAGATGTTAACCTCCTCCAAGTGGTGTAAACTCAGATACGGATTTTCACAAAACTTCGTACACATAGAACTCAACATTTTGTTCTTCCTGTAGTACACCCAGGAAGTGAATACCAACAAGAGAGTGCATATTATTATCTCTTCTAATATTTTGAAGGAAAGAAAAAAGATGTACGAAACGGTAAAGGAGTAGCCTATCAACATATTGATCATGTCATTGCTTACATTGTCATACAGCTCGAGGATGAATCCAAATATGAGTACCATCTTGCCAATAAAAAAGAAGAGAGTCGAGTTAGACCTGTTCCGTAACCTTATATAAATCATCCACACCGTCGCGAGGAAGTAATACAAGATTAAAAAATACGTCAAAGAGTTAAGCGAATTGGTTATTTCCTTCGTACACTTTGAAACAATCGCTTGCACAGAAAATATTATAAAAAAAATGACAAATAACACAATTCCTATCGTCCTCAATTTTAACTTAGTTCTCTTTTCGTATGTCTTATATTCCAAGTTTAACTGCTGATTTCGGTACTTTATATTTAGGCCTATAACTCTTCTGAAGGTCTCATAGATAAATTTCGTCTTCTTCGTCCTGTTGTAGTACTTGTTCTTTTCTCTTATGCTGTACTGCTTCGGCGTCGGGATGAATTTTGTCAACGTTGCATTCCTTTCCAGGTCGAGTGCACCATTCGCCCTATCCTTCAGATTAGCACTTAGGTTACCCTCTGTTGTGTTCTTCTTTGAGGACCCTTTCTGGCCTTTCTTCAGTATCTTCTCCCGGAAGTACTCTGTTATGTCAGGGGAAATTCTACAAAAGTAGGTAGGGGCATCGGAATGACGGAGCGATAGGAAAAAAAAGGGGGACGCACCTAGGGATGATCACACAGAGGGAAAGCTAACCCCTCTGTAGAGAACATCGGCAAACGTGCGTATACGAAACGCACCTGTTGTTGATAAACTTCGCAGCCTTGTCAATAAAAAAGTTTATATAAAGAATCGGAAGAAGAGACAGCCAAAAGTATGCGTCCTCCGTTTGGAACAGACTCAATTCACACTTCCCTATTTTAAAGCAGTCAATTAAGGTGTACACATTTACGTATAGAAATAGGAAGCAGATGATAAGAACTGCCAGGATGAAGAAGTACAAGTGCCATGTCCTGGAGAGCAGCAAGATCTTCTCCGACGTTATAAAAAAATTCAGGATGAATATGTGGAAGGTGAATGCTCGATGTGTTATCAGGGGGAACACGTGCACCCTCAGGATGTAGTACGAGATCATCGAAATGAGCATGGCTTCCAGGATGGTTAAAATTATTATCGTGTTGTTTAGGAAGTACTTCCTTCTGGCCTGTTAAAACGGGGGGAGGCGACGGATGGTGTGTCATTAATTGGAACTGCTTCGGTGTGCATATCGCGCAGTTCATACTGCTCAAGCTGGCGCATACTTCATACTGCTCACAGAGCAAACAACGCCGCATGCACGCTGCAAAACCGTACAAGCTGATAGATGTAGGGGACGCTCCTGATAAATTTGTAGGGCAAATCTATTTCGTATGCCGAAAATGCTATAATGAGCAAATAATGAAAAATGGCGAAGGTCGTCTGGGTGTACAAGATGGACGAGGTGGAGGACCCGGAGAAGAAGTTATCAAAGTTGTGGAAAAAGTAGAGCGAGACGATCGTGATTTTCAGGTATATTATCCAGAGGAAGGACCGGCTGCATGGCGGAAAGAGAGGTATATGCAGTGCGAGGAAGAGGTGAAAACGTAAAAACAAGCATGGCAACATCACTTTAACCCACTCAAAATCCACCCTTAGATAGCCGCACTCATACTCCCCTCTTTTCCTGGTGGAAAGAACTCTGTCCGTTATTACCTCAGGGAAAATTTGTTCAGCCGTCCCAGTATAAGCAGGTCGATAATGTACCTAAACTCGTGAAGTACATAATCCGATATGCTATATAGCACATTGACCTGCTCGTTCAAACTTAGACACACACTGATTGTGGTATTCTTCAGCAGATAGGCGTCATTTAGGGTCGACCCCACCCCTAGGATGGTCAGCCTGGGAGTGGTTAGAGAGAGCACTTTTCTTATAACTTTTCCCTTGGTCTCATTGTCCATCTTGCAGAATAAAACGACCGTAGCACGCATGGCTATGCAAAGGAACATCTTCTGCAGTGTAGTTAATTGAAGGGGGGAGAGCGGCGAATCAGTGTGGGAGCGTTGAATCACTGTGGAACACTCGTCGCGCATCAACATGTGTAGGGACATTTCCCCATTGTAGGCACCCCCACGCCATCGTTAATGACAGATGCACATGGCACGCGGGGGGCACGTGCAGATGGACTCACCATGGCGTGCGCATTGCTCATTATATTCCTTATGCTAGCGTCGTTTATTGCGATGGCGTAAGACGTAGAGTTCAGCTTATCCAAGGAGAGGGTAAAATTGTTGAAGAGGGCATTGGCCATGCTGTCCATGTTGTCCATGCTGTCAACACGTTCGTCCTTCTCCACGCTGTTGGCGCTATTCGCACTGTTTACACTGTTCGCACTGTCCGTGCTGTCCGCATTATGCATGCGTTCCACCGCCTCTTCCCCGTGTGGGTTAAAAAAGTTAATTACAAATAAGTTCGAATTGGAGGGAATCAAATTACACTGTAGTCCTGTCAAATAAGTGTCCTTGGAATACTCATTGGTAAATATCCACGAGCGAATATCAAATTTGGCCAAATCGAGAAAAGTTTCTTCTACGCCTTCTTTCAAGTCGTTCTTCAATCCAATCATCCCAACTACTTCTAAATCGTTTAATAAAAATATTTTCATTAAATCGTACAGCTTGAAAGACAACCTACTTTTGTTGCTATTCCGAATGCTCTTCAGAAGGAGATATTTCCCAATGTCCTCATTTTTAAGAACCTTTTTGCAGATGAGAATAACCTTCAAATAATTCATAGTGTACATTTTTATAATTTTTTTTATTTTTCTTATGTCATTCTTGGCTAGCGATAAGTAGGGAAGAAGATTGAAGTCATAGCCACGCACGTAGAGGATACTTTGGTCTAACTCCTTTGTGTGTTTTAAAATACACATGGAGAATTTATTACTCTTCAAGAAATCGTGAAAACAGATCAGATGATATTCTTGGCATTCGTCTTTTAAATTATAAAAAAATAATCTATTCTTGTAGCAGTACACATGATAGCCTATATTCTTTACAATGTTGTAGAGGCATATATCTTCATATTCGATTGTGTGGAAATTTTCTTCATCGCCTTTTTCTGCATGTTTATAATTTTTCTCATTTTCAATTTCATGTTTGTTTTCTTTCTCATACTTCACATATGCGTCATTGTAACTTTCACTTTTATATTCCTTTATTCCCATGTCTAGACACTTCTCGTTGTAGATAATGACTCGGTTGCATGCGCATATTCCAAAAACGAACTCTTCTATTTTGTCGGCCTGGTCCTCTCCTCTCTGCGCGTCTTCTATGACCTCTTTGCAGTTGTAGCTGTTCTTGAAGTTCTCGTAGAATTCTGCTTCCAGGGGAGAAGTGAAAGGGGGAGGAGAAAAAACGGGTTTCCCATGTTTTTTTTAAATGCACATTTATGGTTTGTAGAAAAGGGGAGGGGATAAAGCACCTTCCTCTACACGGATGCACATATGTAAGCACGCGTATACATATACACATCTCCCGCAGTGCGCGTTGTACGGCTCATTTCTGCCGTACGGTTGTAACCCCCGTTTAGTTTAGCCTTTATGATCGGCGTGAGCATCACATTCTTGTTCAAAATCTCCTCCTTAAAGTAACTCCTATATCTCTCACTCAACACCATCGACAAATCATCCGCGAAAGGGTCGTAAATCGAAGTGATGCGATTTTGGAATATTCTCAGGAAAAGCCCCAAGTCTCTGGAGGGGAAGAGCACGTTCTCGGGGTCTTTGAAAATCCTTTCGTCCAGGTTTAGAAGTTCGGCCACGTTCCTTCTAAAGGATGGCGCCACAAAAAGGAGGGAACATAATTTGTGTGTGTGTGCGTGGTGCAATCGGACCGAATTGGTCAAACAAAGCAGCAGAATCATCTACTAGCACGCATAAATTGGGAGTCGCCCCCATGGACGGAGAAGGCATACGAGCTGGCCGCGTTTTCTTAGATTTGTCGAAACGCACTCTTTTCCGTGTTATCCTTTTTTTCTCATCTTTTGGATTATATTTTCTTTTCTTTTTTTTTTCTTTTTCCCTTTCCCCCATGCGCACCTTTCCCCGTCCAGGATGTTCAACGTGGGCAAACGAATCTCCCCGCCCGAATAGACAAAGTCGCATTTGGCATAGACGACGTTGTTCACGGCGCACGACACAAACAAGTCCTTTTTCTTCACAAGAATGCCATTTCGAGTTGTAGCCAGCAGATCCACAGCCCCTAGTGCATCATTCTTGTTTTTATTAAAAACTTTGGGTTTCTCACCGTGTGGGCCTTCCTTCATTCGCAGGTCGTTTTCTGTGAACAGGGGATGCCAGCGAACGGTTGGGCTTGAATTGAGGTTTGCCTTATTATCGGAATGGTGACACATTTTTACTAGTCACACGTTTTCGCAGTGCATGGGGACTCTTTTCTTTGTCAATAGGACAATGTACAAGGACTATGTTCTCCCATGCTAGACGCACCTATTTTCAAACTCTGGATGATATATATAAGGCTCTTCTCCGAGTAAATCATAATCGGCAGCACCAAAATGTATAGGCCAATGAAGTCCTCCAAAACGGTTAAGAAGGTGTCCTTCGACCTCTGGTGAGACCCACTTGTGCGATAAAACGTCAGCTTTATTATAATACTCAGGAGGACAAAAAAGAAATACATGAAAATTAAGTAGTACACTACGTTGTTCATTTTTATACAGAATGTTCTGTTCTCTTCTGTTTTTTGAGGAATATTTAAGTTTTTTTTTGTGTCAGCTCCGGTGTATATGACCACTGCATCTATGTATTCTGCTCCTTTCAGGATGGATGCTTAAGGGAGGAAAAAAAAAAAAAAAAAAAAAAGAGCGGTGAGTGTCTAAGTTTGGGTTCCTACAGCGAGTTTACTGTTAAAAGGCGAGAAATGAGCAGTTAATGTGATTTTTTTTGTTTTTTTTTTTTTTTTTTTCCCTCCCCCTTTCCCGATCTGCTCATTTGGTTAGATTCCCCCTTTTTCGCATTTTCCTTCTTTACATTGCAGAGCGAAGTTCTCATAGCTTAGCATTAACGACCTCGGGTGTTTGTCCAACTTGAAATTCCCCTGAAAACAGAATATATTCTTGTTAGGTAATTCGCATCTAATGAACCCGTTAATTTCTGACAGCATCTTTAGGTAGTCCCTGTCGACTATGTTGGGGGGAAGGAGTCGTTATGAAGTTCTTTTTAACGATTTAAAAGGCTCTCACCATTTCATATGTATATGTAATCACACACGGGAGCAAAACCCGATGTAGCTGAATCTGCACACTCGTACTTTTGTACTTATCCACTGGGTACTTAATGCTCTTCCTAAACAATCCATCAATCTTAAATGAATCGACCATAGCATTTAAATTGTTCTTAACGTAAAGGATGACGGCATCTGCTGGGAATTCGTCGCCTTGGAACACCCGAATAATGTCCCCCACTTTTATTTCCTTGGTGGTGACCTGAACAGGGGGCATTTTGCGTGTCACATATGTTAGATCATACGTGTAGAGGAAGTGTCGTTACAATTGGAGCGTGGTTGGCAGTTTTCCCAGTTGATCTCCTCATGATTCGCTTTGCTCTTCCTTCCTTTGCGTGACCATCCGAGAGACCACCCGTGTGACGACACAAACCCTTGGGTACCTTCTCAAAGTGAGACATCTTCGGCACTATCCTCAGGTAGCACTGCGAATTTGCATCCTTTATATCCTTCAGCTGTTTCAGTTCGTAAAGCGTTTCCGTGACTACCAAAATGGAAATGTTTAGAAAAAGAGAAATGGCCGTATCTATAAAAATATACTTTTTCGTTATCCCTTGGCTAATTTCGGAAAATACATAGACCGTTAGGAAGAGCGAGTATACGATGATCGCGTCTAGTGATATGAGTCTTCTGATAAAGTTGTACAGCTGCACATGGGGGTGAAAAAAAAAAAAAGAAAAATTACGACTACATAGAAGCATTTTTAATGTGGCAACATTTGGTTGAAAAAAGGGAAGGAAAGAATCGCACAAAAGTGCTCATGCACATGTGTATATTAAATGCGAGTGGCATAAATTTCGAAAAAAAGTTCTCACTGAGAAATTATATATTCTAAAATAATTTCTACAAAATTTTTGCACGTCGTCTTCTGAGGTTGGGTTGATAACAACTTTCCTGTAAATGTTGTTGCCTGTACCTATGTATTTTCTTTTTCCGTCTAAATGCTGCGAATTCGCGGGGGAAAGCAGGGGCATACCCGCATGTTTTGAGGTTAAAAGGGCGCGCATCCCGTGGGAGGAATGCAGTTTCTTTGTTGCACCCGTTGAGCAGCTGTTCATTCATTGCTACGATGCGTTACGTTGCTTTCACTCTGCTTCTACACGCCTTCCTCTTTTTTTGCAACCATTTTCCCTGCTCACCATTAACGTCAAAGCCTCCGTCTTCATCCTGTTTGTGCTCTTCATTTTGGCTCTCTTAAATGTGGGGAAAGATCAATTTGACGAGTAAAACCCTCACACTGTTTCACCTGACGGACATATCGACGGATAGAAAGTAAAAAGAAATGTCACATAGGCGTTTCACACCGTCTGTGCGTTTGTGTGTTTTCTTTTTTTCTTAAATCAGTAAAATTGTGATAGACGACGTGGAAGGATGAACTGGCCCTTCTTCTATCATGCACGTGCAGTCCCTATATTTTTGCTTTTATCTTTTCTGCGCAGTATTGTAAATATTTTTTTTTTTCTTTACGCAGATTAGGGGGAAGGGATGCAAAATGGGCCTCATCAAAATGGTATACAACTTGGCTAAGTCATTTTTACATAAGTCTACATGAATACAGGTGAGTGTCCACGTATGGAGGTGATGTTTTTTTTCCCCACACTCATTGGTCACTTTCCTCATGATGTGCCTCATTCAAGATTTTTTTTTTTTTTTTTTTAATCACCCTGCACACATGTGTATACATACCAAATAGGTAGAAGCAAAACCGTCAGGAGGTGGTGCAACGCTCTTTTTTTTTTTTTCTTCTTTTTTTTTCCCGACATTGTATGTAGCTGAAAAAAACTAACCGCTTTTACAAAAATATAACTGTCATCATGCAAAATCGGCACAGTTCAATGGAACAGAAAGATGCCACAAATTAGAGAGTAACACAGGATGTTCCCAATTTGCTCATAGTGCCATAGCGTGTGCCATTTTTGTTATCTTGGGTGAAAATGATTTATCCTCATGAACTGTGGAATTTATAATTAATTACATAGCCATAGCTGGAAATTATTTTCAACAAAAGCGTGTTCAATAGACATGTGTTTTCGTTGGCTCTTGTTTCGGTACGTCAGAAAAGCAGCTCTGGGCCCCGTAGAAAAAAAAGAAAAAACAAACAAACCGTGTAGTCGCCAACAAACCGTGTAGTCGCAAACAAACCGTGTAGTCGCAAACAAACCGTGTAGTCGCAAACAAACCGTGTAGTAGCAAACAAACCGTGTAGTCGCAAACGAACCGTGTAACCACAGAAGTTTTGTGAATTATCACCGAAGTGTCTACCCCCTTATACACCGCTGGCGCACCTCCACTTAAGAAATTATTTTAAAGAATTACCCCCTTCCTGTTCCTCACTTTTAATTCAAAAGCCCCCTTTTTTATATTCACGAATAGTCCAAATTAATAAGCAAAAAGGAGCTACGTATAATTGTAGAGAGCACACAATGTTTCACATTTTAATTACAAACCAATTTGGCGTTTTTGCAAATGTAAACCTGGGCAGGTTGTCTAATTTGTGCACTTATGTAACGACGACGCTGCGTCAAGTAGCACAAGGTATGCGTTACATTATGATAAAGCAATGAGGACAAAAAAAAAAAAAAAAAAAATCCAAAAAGTTACTCACCATGTAACTGTTTCAACATGCTCACTCTCCCGGAATAAAACCCAGAGAAGTACCAAGACATAAGATATTTGAGCAGCTCTTGCAAATCTTTATTTTGATTGGTAGTGTCCTGCTCATTGGTGGGATTTACAACATTTAATTTTCTCATAATAAAATTATCAAAATGATTATTTATGAAGTTATTTTCTTTTTCAAATGCACCTTCATCTATGCACAGGAGTTGTGACTCTAGGAAGATGTTTAAAGTATCACTACTTTTTTTTTTATGTTTTAGGTACACATCACTTATTTCTTTATTGTATTTCTGGAAGGTATCATTAAACGGGATTGGCGGAGGCTTCAGGAGGCCCTTGATTACTTCACTGTTCATGTTAATATCCTTTTGGCATGGCATTTCATTCGTGTATTCATTGGTATATCCGTTGGAATACCCGCCGGCATGCCCGTCGGCGTATTCCTTCGCATGGACATACTTGCGTCTTACCAACTCGTCACTGGAACTTCTAGCAAAATCATCATTTTCGAAATCAAAATTTATTTTGTCGACGTCAATATAGCGCCTTTTTCTTTTATGCCTCCTCTTTTCATTGCTCTCCCTCTTGTTCGCCTCGTCAGGAACCTGGCCTAGCCCGTCTGCACACATCTCCAAATTTGGCTGTTCCCTCGGGCTCTTTAAAAGGCCTTCACGATAGTTATTCCCGTTGATGTTGCCGCTTGCATTATTGCCGCTAACATTTATGAATTCCAAGCCATCGTCGGATCTATTCCAGTCGTCCCCCTCCTCGGGGGAAGTTCCTCCTGGAATATTCTTATCTATATAACTGTTTAATTCCTCATTTTTTCGCTTTAAGAAATGTTTATTGTCGGCCTCCCCCCCAAGTGTACACTGCAAAATATTTTTTATACAAATGGGTATGATGGTTTCATCATTTAAGGAGCACTCTGCAGTGTTTTCCTTCTTGTGTTCTTCTTTCAGATCGTTGTTATTTTCTTCATTATTCCCATTCATTTTAGATACGTCCAATTGAATGGCGCATTATTTTTCTCTCAATTGCTTCTTTGCTGTAATTTTTCTGGCATTTTGGATCTCATGAAAAGCGCAGCATGTTTGCGATTTATGCGGTGGAATAAATGCTTTCGAACTGTTTCTTCGGCTGTTTTGGCTGCTTCGGCTGCTTCGATTGCTACGACTCCGCTTTCCTGACTCCTATTGACTGCTTTTTTTTTCTTCTTCCGTGAAGATCAGGCAAAAAGGTGGTAGATAAATTTGCCTTTTTTTTTCCCCCGCACCCTTAAAGCACGTCGCTGGATTTTTTCTATGAAAAAAACAAGGATAGAGGAATTAACAAAAATGCAAACCTTTCCCGCGAATGGACAAATTGACACTACAGAGTTGAAATAAATAGGCCACAATAAAATGGTAAACGAAACCATTCTGTGTTGTGCAATGCCATCAGTTCGTATGCTTCACCTTTTTCATGTATATGTTCTCCCATTTTGAACATACTAATGGGAGGGGAAAAAAAAAGTCTACATGTTTTGATGAGGTGAAAAGAACTGCCTAACCCATTGCACAATTTTACAAATTAAAGAAACTAGGTGGAGTAATTTATTCCTCTATGACACTAACAGAAGATTGATTTCGTAAGATTAAGAGGAAAAAATAAACCTTTTTTGATGTGAGGCAAAAGGTCCAATTTGTTTGCATATTACAAATAAATCGCACCACTGTGTAAAGTTTACGTGCAGGACATGAGGACACTTTTTTGTGATGACTCAATTTAGCAGACCTTATTGACAACCCTGCGAAGAGCGAACTTTTTTTTTTTTCTTTCCCCCCAAAGTTGCTAGAGGTAATGAGAAGAATATGCCAAATGTTAACATAAAATGTGTCCTCCTTTTTTACCTCCTTTATTGCCTCTCCTTCATTGTAACTACAACCTGCCAGTTAAGCCATAATGGAACAACTTTAAAAAACTGGTTTAGCCAATTTAATGATGAAATTTTTTCACATGAACAGGTCAAAAAAAAAAAAAAAAAAAACTCACCAATTTTTGGGTGTTCATTTGATAAGCAAAAAAAAAAGGCTACTTTCGAATGCGTCAGGAGAAAACTGCTTAAATGTAGTGGGAAATTATTTAACGCATGGAGTGATGACTTGTCTATAATACATCCTAATGAAAAATTAAAAAGAGAACAAATTCATAATGAAGCAGAGCATTATATAGTAACAAAAAAGGGAATAAATGAAAAGTTGAACTACATCGATTTGTCATCCTTCAGTACGTACTGCTCATTTTACAAATTGTATGTGCGCGACTTGGTACACTTTAGTGGCAATAAGGGGGCATATAATGGTAGTTCCTTCATCCCGAAGACAATTATTAAAAGATATTTTGTCAAAACAGACCATTTGAATAGCGATCCACTGGATGAAAATATCTATATTTTCATTTCGGGCACCAAAAAGGGAAGCCTAAAAGGGGAAAATGAAAACCCACCGTATAGTAAAATTTACTACACGGTAGGGAGTATAATACATAATTACTACGTTTTCTTTATAAGCAAAATACTGGATCACACTTTCTACTTTGTATTTAGCGAGGGCCATAAAAAGGGAAGCGCTACACATAGGACCAGTAATAGTTATTTAATTTATAAAAATGAAGTTATATACCCCTTTCGGAAGGGAGAAAGGGTCTGTGGAGGGGTTCCCTTCCAGGACTACTCCCATTATGATGACCTACGAGATTTTTACGTAATCGAAATTTGTCACTGCTTCAACGGGATTACATACAGACAGAATCTGCACCGTTTGTTGAAGAGGTTGTGCAGGCTATATTTTAATATCGAATTGGTTCCCTACATTCTTCACTTACCCCCCGTGTTTTACCACATCCTAATCATCCTTATCTGCTCCTTAATGTTTGCCTATATCTCTTACAAAATTTTTCTGAAGTACAAAAATTGCTTTTGATGTGCCGTATGGGGGAAACGCCATGGAGGAAAACGCATGGGGGACATAAAACATTTGAACATTGACAAAGGAGAAGACAAAAACATCCAACCCATTACACTGCGTCCTGTTTTGTAAATACCTCTATGTCTTCACTTGGTTAACGCAGCGATGCGTACAACGTCGTCCGAAAACAACCACAAAATTGTTTATCCGTTGGCATCTTCCCCCCACTGGGTGGAATGCACAGGTACGTATAAAAATACCTACATGGCACGCATGTACGTTCGCGTCAATTTTCCCAATTCGTTGTAAACTTCGACTTGTAACTAATCTACAAGGTAAACACGTTTTTCTTTTTTTCGTAAAGCCTAGCGCAACCAATTTACACATGTAAAATACGTCCGTATAATGCAAAAAAGAAGAAGAAAAAAAAAATCGTTTACGTTAATTTTGCATTTTAATGATGTATTGTTGGAAAAAGCATTCCTTTTCTTGCGAAATTGTTTAACTTAATAATTTGATTAGGTTTGAGTTCTTTTTTAATTATTTTTAAAGAAATGTTTTCCATTTCGACTTCACACTGTTCAGCGCCTATTTATTTTTAACCTGTTGGTTGGTCG